TGACCGCTAGATTGGTGAACTATTTGCATCTCTACCAGTCCTTATCTGGAGAGTGATTCGTTCTTCCATGAGCACTCCAATAGTACCAAGTCTGTAGTGATTTCCGGAGCTGAACTAATAATGGGATGGAGCTTGTGAGGCAATGAGAAGGTTGAGTACGAAATCCTGGGAGAGCAGGAACACACGAGTTGCCCTGAAAGACGACGTACACAAGACGTACTCGTACCGTTGAGACGTACTCGGTAGCCTGTTAGAGTCCTTGCTTTTGTATGCTTCGACGGAGGCCGATGTTGCCAAAAAAGACAGCACTGCAAAGTACTGTTCATCGTGAGGTCCTCTGCGTTGATGTTGACATTGTGAACTAGACCAAAATGGCAGCGAAAGACGGGGACCAGATCACGTATTACGTTCATAGGTGATAAGTGACCATAAGTGAAAGTGGCTCAGTCACGTATTGCGTTCATAAGTGATAGGTGATCGCTAGTGAAAGCGAGTTTTTGAAAAAAATAAGTTCATCATCATCTGCGTAAATGTTCTCAAAGGGCAATGAACATTTGATGACGGCACATTCCGAGTTATTCGGCGACAAGTCAAAGCACTTATCCCATAGCAGAAGTAAGCCTTATGCCAGTTCAAGTAGTTAACGAACTCATTAAGCCACATGTGGTTCAGCTTCATCACCTAATCAAAAAGGCAATTCAAGAAGTAACCAAAATGTTGTGGCTATTCAGTAAGCATGAAAATTCAGTATCATGTGGCAGTAGTAAGTCGTTTTAGGTGATATGTAAGTAGTAGTATAAAGAACTATCCAAAATCATTAAAATCACTAACATTAAGATAAAAATGGCGAAATGGCAACAGCAAAGAAAACCTTCTAACAATGGAACCAGTCACTCATGAGTCATGAAACAGTATCAATAGTTTCGAGAGTAAAACGAAAATCAATGAAAGATTCCTCCTTTTTTTTACGAAAGTCTTGAAAAATGAGGGTAACAGAGTCTGAAGGCAGTAAATAAAGTCACCCGTTGTCACAGAAAATGACCGTGTTGAAACATCAGGAAACGATTTTTATAGGGAGTGGGCAGGTAGTGAAAGTTAAAACCACCTCGCCTGGCACCAACAGGTCTGAAGATCCAGTGGACCTGCTGGCAAGGAACCTGGACTCGCCACTATGAAGGTGAAAGCAAAACGTGGGACGTGGGACGGTAACAAATTGATGGCAACATCACGTACGTAAGCGTCCTGTCATTCATTTATGTATTTGCATCCAATGTGCATTCCTGAGTACCCATTCCCCATACATATAGACCATTAACGTCTCTGTCATTCCGGGACAATATTGCAAGATTTCAGTGCGGCCTTGGCTAAAGTTCTCCTCGGTAATGGCAAGTGAATAAGTGCAATTGGAACTGAATCTGTTCGTGGAATTCAAGCTCAATATTATTATTCAAAAGGGAGCAGCAAGCTTCGTGGTGCCGAAATATTACATAAACATTACCCTAAGCAGCGCTATTTGAGGTGATCTTCCGTTATACGCGGATAGTTTGCCTGCCACGCAGTCTTATACTCCTAAGGCGACCCAACACGCGAGTCCTCAAATGCTAAATTCTAAGTGAGAAATGTTTATTCTCAAATTTGAACGCGTGATAATTAATAGAAGATAAAATCAAGAACAAATACTTCAAACCACGGTAGAGATCCCCGTCACGTTCCCGCTCTTTCCTCACATGCAGTCATTTCGCACTTGATTTGCTCGTGCGGGAATAACATTGAGACGGCCTGACGCCACTTCCAGCGACAATGACTTGATCAGAACATGCTAAAGATGTAAGAGGTAAATAAACATGTTCCGCTCCATCGATAACAATTCTTTCTCCAGATCAAATAGCACCTCCTGTGCGTTTCTCAGTCGTTTTCGTGCTTCTGGCTTTGGGTCTGAGATGTTGCACAAAGCTGTGTTGTGGTGTCCTCAGGATTGAGACACCCCAAAAAAGTGCCTACGTACGCGGTATCGGTAGTAACGACTTTTCTTTATGGATCCACAGTTTTTCGAATTGCCGCATCGGGCTAGGCACTACTTACGGTCTCCTCTCTCTAAGGCTGTTTTCCATCTCCGATTCCCATTTGTAAATGTTGAGTATGAATCGGAGAAAGGTTTTCCCTCCACATTGCAGAACGCGCATGCCAGTCTTCTCTTGATATTAGGAGAACGCTCTCTCTTCGATGTTAAGCAAGATTCGAATGTCAAATCAGAAAGCGCAGTGAGCCCTCACATTGTGCGCCTATGACCGGCAACGCCTGATGGTTTATCAAAATACATTACTTCGCAGTTGTTCAGGAAAAATTGAAAAGAAAAGTTCAATGCAATGCTGTGCCTTTCCTGTTTAGAAGCACTCAGCGGATTAGAAATTTCACCCCTTCAATTTTTGGAAGTTACCAACTCTGTAATGCTCTGAAAATGCAACGGAGATAAATTCAGCATATACGTTTTGGACGTCCTCATGATGCCAGGCATTTCCGATGGACCAGGGCCGATATAGATCGATATATCTAATCGCTCATGAAATTTTCAGATAACCCTCTGAATAATTCATAGATGTTTCCGCTCACACGACCTCGCAAAAGTATGCCGTACGAGATGTATCAGCTAATCATATGATTCTTGATTTTGCTTTAAGTCAGCGGAAACATTGTTGCAGTGAGATCTGAGCATGCGTCTGTAGTTGGAAGGTTTGGTTCAGAGAAAAACACAACTGTGAAAACACAAACACAAAAAAGTTTTTCCGTACTAGCAATCTAATTATCCATTGAGTCATATGAAACGCAGTTGGAGGGAAACCCAAGGAAGTGCTAGTTGCGAGATTACTGGAAAGAGTGACACTGTGAAAGCTTCGACATGACATAGTTGACTATGAAAGTCCTGTGAAAACGGTTATCCATGGTTCACGATAGTCAGAGATTGACATTGGCAACTTTGCACATATTTCCTTATAGTAGTGAACAATTGAACAGAGTCATGGATCTTCTCTGAGTTGTCATTTGAAACTTATATGCGCAGAGAAACGCGACAGCTTGTCTGAGCTTCGCACTTTTACCGTCCCATACTTTTGGGCACAAATTAAACTTTTCACTATATAATAAACATTTTTCATTGTTCCGATCTAATTTTCGAAATCGCTGTCTCAACCTGTTGAGGGACGTATCAGAAAAGCTTTCGCGACTGCTGACAGAAGTTCCAACAGAAAACCTAAGACCGAATAGTGATCACTTGTAACGCTTGCAAAAGAAACACAAGTGTTCATCAGGTGCATTTCAGATGTGCGACTGTTTACAATTTCACAACCAATTCCTTAGAATGAGTCGCGTAGAGCTATCAATGAATGGCATGAAAATAATCCAGGTCTATTGAAAAAAGTGAATCTTTATCAGTTTCGCATGTGTTGCAATGGTCAAAGGTCACTTTTTGGGAGGGCAAGTTACAAATAACTATAATAATAACTTCAACTGTTATCGATTGATGCCCCGCGAATTTTTAGGGTTCTTAATCCTATTTTGGAAGATACGTTGACTGAGCTTTGGAAGCAGACAGGGAATTGGGAATGGCCATAGACTCTCGTCAACTGTAGCACTGCGATATTTGGTAACTGCCATGTAGTGCTGCCGAGTTTGACTGACAGTACGCGTATCTTCAGAACAATGAGCACTTCGTGTTTTTATATTGAGTTTGGCGTACTTCCAATTGCTCACTTTACATATAGATGACTGTTTACGTCTTTCAGACGTTTTTAGAAGCCGTTTTCACGATACGCACGAACGGGCGAACTGTTTGGAATCCATTACTACATCGTGTGTGTAGCGTCAGCTACGCCGCATTTCTGCTTCACCTGTCAAAGCCCTAGCCATGTGTGCTAGTCAATGCCTTGCGCCGCTTTTGCTGCTCATACCCTATCTCCTAGATTGAACTGGAATCTTGGCCGTCTTCGCAGCACTTCAAGGTAACCTCGTCCTTACCCCTTTGTCGTACAAAGCCCCATATATGCTATGATGTTGTATACATATTTACAGCCTGCATTGGATAAAGCATTGAGAATGCTAGAATTATATATGCTACAAATGGACATGCAGTATAGTGAGAACAATTAATGCAAGTACAAGAGAGATTTACCAAAAAAATTATACTACTCTCAGGGGACGGGTCCCTTTCGTCATTTCATTCATGCTTATTTCATGACTGCTCTCTTTCACATACCACACCCTACTTCGTTGTCCCAACCAATCCACTGCCAGGCCCCTTCCCAAAGATTTCGAAACTCCACTGACCTCATCGAACGTTCCGGAGGTGATGCAGGTAGGAATAGAAGCAAAGCGGGAAAAATCAGCTGGTCGTTGAACTCCATTAGGACATGTGCGACGACTCACTAGGATGAAAAGAATGACGCGTATCCTCGGGACTTGCCGCTTTCCTCAACCCTCGTCGTACTGTACTTTTCCTTTTGGGACCACGACGCGCATTGACTCAGGGCCCCTACAAAGTAATTTGGAAAGCATTACACAATCGCTTTGGAATGTTGACTGCTTCGCAAACAAAACAATAACTTTCGTTAGGTACAGTATGGAGTACACAACAAAGGAACCCCTCCTCCTTCTAAATAGGCATAAACAACTCTACCATCGAAGATATGATATTTTTGCATTCTTTCTAGACTTCTCTCCCAATTTTTAAATGAACTGTGTTGATAAGTGCAGAGTGCGAATACTAGCATTTTTACCATGTTTCATTGCATTTATTATTATTTGCTATTATTTTATAACATTTTATTTGATACTCTAACAAATTGTCGATCATTGACAACATCACAACATCCTGAATGAATTAATTTCCATTGACGCTTGAAATACTTACTTCTCGGGTAAGTAGTTTGAATAAAGCGTAGTAAGGCCCACAGGGAATAAGCACACCACTCAATGGTGACTCCAACAATGAATGCCACAAATACAACCTAGGGATAGGGAACCTTAAATGGGCCACCGTCAGTGAGTATCCTTCCTTGGGCGTCGGTGGCTGTTGTGTGACCGTCAACCGTAGTATAGGTGTATGGAACACCGTCGACTGTAATCGTGAACACTTCGATTTGATGTCCATTTTGAACATACTGGTTTTTCGAAGTGTGAATCGAACTTCCTCTTGGGAACTGAGCTGTATAAGGTATATCGCCGATTGTCGATCGCACAGAAGTGACTCCGTTCCCTGTGTCCACTAGCACTCCCCATCCACCAAGTGATACTATGTCATTCATCTCAACGCCAGCATTTCTGAGAGAATTCCAAGCTTCTTCCAATTGCTTTGTTAGATCTGCTCCCCAGTTGGGATTAAGTGCCACTCCCTGAAAACAACCAATGAGTACGTATCTTCTTTGACTTCCAAATGTTTAAAATAAAATTTAAAATAAAGGTGATCTTTAGAAACGTTGCCAAGGATCAAGTCCCCACCGTATCCTACCGAGATTGAACAGGACACATCCGACTTATTCATTTCAATCTTCAAAATAAAAAGAAAGAGCGAGATGTTCTCGAAGCAGTATGTTCAAAAAACATACCCGATACGGACTTGGAGGGATTAGATTGGAATCTGGGCCAACTGAAGGAATCAGGTTGAAATCCATACGAGGCGGGGCCATAGTGAATCTTGGAAATAGTGAATTAAAATAGTCGATTCCATTCATCTGAAAAAAAGTTCAGAGGTCAGGCGAGACTTCGTCCGAAAGTGCTTGTATCCTCATACCTGGGCTTGAGCCCTGACGGTAGGAACGAGGAGCAGTAGTGTTACTGTACTTCGGAGCATTTGCAGTAGTAAAGTATATCAACAACTTTTCTAAACTTGAACTCAAGTTGTCCTCCGTAGCTAAAATCGACCGAGAACCTTCCGGCTAGCAAACAGACATTACTGAAAGGTCGAATAGTTAAAGCAGAACGTCGCTGAAAAATCGAAGACTTGCAACAAAGTTTCCGGAATTCGAATGATAGTCAGCGGATTCTCAACTCAAAACTGCTGGGTTCAATAAAGGCAAAGCGGAAGGTTGTTTTCAGTAAACAAAATTTAGTCAATATCGAAAACTTGAAGAGCTTGAGTAGGAAAGGAAGCTGCGAAAATGTGGGAGAGAAA